TTGGACGTGTCCAGAGGACAGTGGGTATATTGGTTTGGACGTGTCCAGAGGACAGTGGGTATATTGGTTTGGACGTGTCCAGAGGACAGTGGGTATATTGGTTTGGACGTGTCCAGAGGACAGTTGGTATATTGGTTTGAACGTGTCCAGAGGACAGTGGGTATATCAGTAGAAAGATGTTAGAGACAAAGAGGGATGCAGTCAGTGGGGACATGGAGGTAGCTGGAGTGAGGACAGAGGACAGAGGATGACTCACTGGAGACCCCTGATGAGGGAACAAACCAAAGAAGAAAAAGAAGTCTTTGTTTGAAGGAAACTCTGGCCCACCCTAACCCCCCACCTCTGGATTACTCACCAGGGACGATGTCCCCGTTGCTGTGGGCTCTGTTCTGCTCCTCCTCACTGTTGGGCACAGAAGACACCTGCTTTGCAGAGGTGCAGCCCATCTCCTCCACCTCTGCTGCTTTGTTCCTCCTCAGCTTAAAGCATTGCAGACTCACCTGAGGACAGGTGTGGACGGAGACACAGTGAGGTTACATACACAGATCAGAAAAGGCTGTTATCTGCCCGGGCAGAAGAGCTGCAGAACGTCAGTCATCCTGTTACAGCAGCTGCTTACGGAGGATTGGATGTGTTTAAAGCAGTAAAACATCTGTCCTTGAAGTTTATGGGATGGAAGCAAATACAGTAAATGGGGAAAAGGAGAATCTGAGCAGCAGCTTGTTGTGAAAGTAAAAGATCTGCCAAAAATGGACCAAGGAAGAAAGGACATGACAGGAACACTGGAGGTCACTTTTGGTAGATGAAGGCCATCCCCTATTATCTCATATATTAAAAGAGTTGTTATATGAAAAAGGTAATGCTCATTGAATCAAAGCAGCAGTTACAGATCAGTCATGGTGGCTGTGCTGACTGAAGTATCTGAACTGGATCAGAGTGCCTGAAGGTAATCTGGTCAGAAGAGCCGTGTTTTTCATTCATATTCATAAAGTCTGTAGAGGACAGAAAAAGTGGATTACATACAGTATATTCTGCTGGGAAACACTGGATCCTGACATTCACACAGGTTTTACTTTGACACAAATCACCACCAAAACACTGAATGTGACTGAACCCTTTTTTACAGGAATGCTTGTGGTCTCCTTCAGTACTGRAACACCTGTCACACTGCAGATACAGAGAGTCCTGGATAGTTTGAGAAAAACAAGAATGTGTTTAAAAAGTTCACTTGGTCTCCAAAATCTTCAGAACTCAAACTGATCACCTGTGGGATGTGTTGGATAATCCTGAGTGGAGGAGTCATCTCACAGCATCCAGGAAACAAGCTGCTTCTGACTGTTTGGGACCTGACACTGCAGCTGCCCCGCGTTAGAAAAACCAACATTATTACAGATGAAATATGCCATAAAGCACTTAGAGGAGTGGTGCTTCGTCTGAATGCTCCATTTGTATTTGTTGCCTGATGTTTGTGCTCCATGTTTATGGGAATCCTTTACAACACAGTTARTGAAATACATAATACCTGTGCATTTTTGCAAAAAATCCAGCATAATTAAGTGACTGATTAATGCTGAAAGATTTTTGCCGAAAAAGATGTATAGAAATTTTGCAATTTGTTGAAAACAGCCAAAGATAAAATTAGCAGAAAGCTAGCTAAAAAGCTGAATCTTTAACAAAGAAAGAGAAAGAGTGTGTTTGCTGATTTAAAAAAATCACAAAGATTTGAATTTAATTTTAAAAAACTATAATGAACTGAAAATAGCTAAAAAGCAGAAAGCAGCTAAAGAAGCATAAAAGCTTAAATTAGCAGAAATAAACTGAAGATAGCTAAACAAGCAAAAACGCTAACATTTGCAAAGAATAATCTGATGGAAGCTGGAATTAGCACGAAAGAGTTAAAAAACAGAAGCGGGGCAAACTGTAATAAGTGCAAGAAAAGTGTAACTATTTTGAAGGGTTTTTAAAACAGCTGCTTTTAATATTTTCAATGAGAACAAAAAATTGTTTAAAAGGCTAAATATATGAAAAAAGTACAAATTGCATTGTTGGCATGTCCTGAAGGAGCTGGAAGTTTTGACATTGCTGAAAAAGCACAAAAATTGCAGAACATATTTGCTGAAGAACAGAAGAAAAATTTATTATCTCAATAGTGGGGTTGCTTCATAATTATTTACACAATAAATGCTGAATATATTGTGACCAGATACCACTGCAGAGCTGTTTGTAAAGCAAAAAGAAGACCCACCATAATATRATGGCTGGTAAACCAGCTTTAATCTGACAAGTAAAAACAACCACAGCCAGCTGCAGGGGGGGGGGGGGGGGGACATTTGTTTTATAATCAATTAGAGATGAAGGCCCCACCCCAGCATTAAAACCTTCAGGTTTCTCAAAAAATCAACTAGATGCATGAGTGTGGATGTGTGGAATCACCAGTGTGTGAAAACACCAGTGGAGAGAGCGCGTGGTGCCTGCTGCTGCTGCCCCGCAACAATAAGGCCTTTCATGATGCGGAGCTGCCACTGTGGCAAGCCGGCGGCTCATTTTACCACTGAATGGAGCTCAGAGGATTAATCTGCAGCAAGCCTCCCCATCCGCAGCATCTCACGGTGGGATCCGTGAGCCCAGAGAGATCCAGTCACATCCGAACCACTCAGCTGAGTCCAGCTGCAGGATCAGCTGCTTCCGACCCATCACTACCCTCCCTGCTGATGAACTGAACTGGTGCAAAAATTATTATTATTATTATTATTATTAATAATAATAATAATAATAATAATCTGCTGCTGCATGCTTTAATACTGAGCGGTATGTCCACGCAGCTGAGAGCAGGCTGTTACCCTTTAACACTGCAACATGTCAACCATCTGCTCGGTTTCCAGCTTTTTCACAGAGGAGAGAAATGATCCCGGTTCCTACAACTATAGGAAAACATGCAAAAGCAGTCGCCATTCCACCTCATGGAAGGAATACCAAGACGATATTACACGAASGCAAAGAATAAAAGAGGAGAAATAAGAGCGGAGCATTACCTTTCAGGAGAATCCATGTTTCGGGGATCCTTCCTCTGCTCTGTGTCCAGACGGAGGTCCCGCTCAGACAGCCTCCGTGAGCGTCTCCGGTCCACCAGCGGAGCCGTGACGTGTGTCGGCAGTCTGCTAGCTCCGAGCTCACGGCTTCATGCTCGGCCAAAGCAAGCGCAGTGAAACCAAGAACCGAGTCAAAAGCTAATTTGTTTTCCAAACCTAAAACTAGAAGTTTGTTTTGTCAATTAAATGRATAAAATAAAAGGACACCAGTTCAGACGGACCTAATTCAGCGGCGCACCGCGCACTTCCGCCCAACGCGTAGCCCCGTCTCTCGTGTTGTGATTGGCTAACTGTTTGTTTTTAGCTGTGATGCTAACTTATGTTAGGTTGACAAACGAATCTTGTCAAAAGGTCTCAGACGGTAACAGGTCTCTCTTGTAAACGAGACAATGAGTCTCAAGAGATCTTCCTGTATAAATAAAGGATAAATAAAAAATAAAAATACAYTAAAAGTCAATTTCAGTGGCTGGAATCGAGCAAAAATAACAAAGGACATATTTTTAGATTACTTCAGTAAATAAAAATAAAACAAAGGTCTTATTCAACAATACATAGATATTACACATTACATTGTGGTTTATTTCCATTTATAGCAAATATATGAAAATGTACATATGTAATAAATTATTTTAAGCTATTGTAGTTGTGCTAAAAAAGTCTAGGATTTTCATATTGGAGTTGTAGTTCTTGTTATTTTCCAGCAGATGGCGATGTTTATTCCCTCTGCTTTTGTCTTTTTTTAAAAAGCAAACCAAGAAACAGCTGGAGGGGTTCTAAGAATGCATTCAATGCAGAATATTTCTGTGCTTCAAAGTGCCTTTTTATGTTTTTAATTGTCTGAACAATGACTTCAGTATGAAGAGTTGTAAACCATAGTTTCTTTTTAGTGTTTGCTACAATGAATTTGATATTTTGACATTTGTAGTTTATAAAAGATTTTGTACATAGTTTCCAAACAAGTCTTCCACAATAWGACATGCTTTTAGATATTGTGATGAAAGTCACTGTTTCTGCTGAAATAATTTAATGAAGAGACCATAACAAGTTTCAGAACACACAAGAGCTACAGTTAATATCAGTGTCTTTCTTGAATCTATTCTGGATAACAGTTGGTTTTTAGTAGAGATTTTAGATATAAGAAATGTATTTTTTTAATCAAATATATTTTCCTGATATTCCATCCACAAACCTATTCCAGTGTGAAATAATAAATGTGGAGTTGATGTAATTTCCAAACAGTTTGATCAAACAGATGTTCTCTACAGGTGGATCTGCTGGAGAACATGAACATGAAGCCTCTCCTGGATGTTAAAAAGCATCCAGACACCTTTAGGCTGCAGGAGTTATAGATATATTATATATTATATTTTATTATATTATCCAAAAGATTCTTTATTTAGAAAACGACTTTCACTGTTGAAGAACTGGTCCAACCATGTTATTTTGAAACCAGTATTCCAAAAACAGTTTAATGATGTTCGTATATAAATGACCGTTACTCCACATCAGAGCACTACAGGAAGACAAAGTGTTTGTAAATGAGACACCACCAGAGAAACGTGAGATAWTCATAATTACAAATGACAGATGTCAGTGCAGCAGCTTGGACTGAATACAGAGGAAAAATATCAGACAGGGAATATTTTATTGTTTAAAGTATGAAAATGCAGAAAAGTGAGACCATTTTCATAAGTTAACAGATTTCTTCAGATGAGTCGTTTTCTATAAAAMACAAAATTATTCTGTTGATGACTTTTGTCTCAATATTATTGAGATGTAGAGTCAGAGACACCAAAGTTTTAGTGAGTCAGACGAATCCTTTCAGCTCAAAGGAGCCATTATTTAGTTTACTGTGGGAAACTGAACTTGATGTTTTCCAGTTCTTACGGATCCTCTGTTCCTTACAGCTGTTCCCTCTTCAGGGGTCTCCACAGGAGAAGTTAAAAGTCCTAACACTGTGATGAATGTCAGCAAAATATGAAACTTTTACTGAAAGATTAAATCTGTACCAAATGTTGAAATTCTGTTTTAGGCAATGTGACAGAAGGAAAAGAACTGATGCTTTAATAATGTGACGTCAACAGTTCTGTTAGTTAAAGCAGACATGATGGAACATCAAACATAAAACCATCATCATCCAGATGCAAACYCATTTGTAGAGACAAACCTCCAGCAGTCACTGAATTTATGTGAAACTGTCAAAATAAATACATCAATACCTCTAAATGTGGGTTCAAACAGAATTTAAAAAAACTGTGTCCTCAGGAACGTGTTGAACGCAGGTGTGTCCTGTAATCTGTGAGGACTGAAACTGTATTAATTAGAAACAAAAGCAGAAATACAGAAATGGACCAATAAATAAATAAATAAATGCACTTAAAATGCACCAATTAAATTAAAAAA